GTGAATGGTGTCCCAGTTTCAGTTGATAAAACTGAAGGTCTCGATACTAAGATTTCTTAAGGACCTAGCTAGACTTAGTGGCCATAGAAGCAAGTCTCCACGAGGATAAAATTACTCGCATCATGTCGAGCATTGAGGTTTGTATACAGCTGGGTTCATGTAAACGTTAGAAGCCACAATCCCTACTAAGTTCCCTTAATTTTTCTATGAGGATCATCCCTCAAGGCCCTTCCTTTATATCTAGACAGCTCTGTTTCTTACTAGGTTTCCCCAACGACAATAGCTGGGTAATCTTAGGCACTCAAGCTATGGCAGATATTTACATGTGGCAGAGGTTTCTACTTTAATGGAATGGGAAGTCCATGTTTCTTCTACTTCTGTCACATACTTCACTCTCAACAGATTTTGCAGCAATCTCTCCCTCCCTGTCCCAGCTAACCTCCCCGAGTGGCATGTCTAAGTCACGGACTGAGGTAGAGGAGCTTCTGTTCCCCTACCCGGTCTGAAAGGAAGCAGGTTGGCGCTCCCTGTCAGAGTGGGTAGAGGGAAACAAGCTCCTCTACCCCAGTCGGTGGCTTGGCAATGCTACATACTGCTGCCTGGAGGGGAGCACTGTGCTCTGCACTCCACTCCTGACAGCCACCTGAAAACTGTGGTCTCTGGGCCAGTGCACGCTAAGGGGGCTGCCTGTGAGGCCTTATGGTACCGCCGTCCCTGACGTTACCCCTCTCTCCACTCCCAATTTCTGAACTCATTTCTAAACACTTTTTTAATAGGTGGGCACTCTTTATTTCACAGGCCTACAGTTACTTTGGTTTCGGCACACCACAACCGAGTTACATACTACTTCTATGTTGCAGGCTTTGTGCCCTGACCACAAATATATATATATATATATATATATATATACTTCTGTTGCAAACAGAAACCTACACTCCAGAGATCAGATTCTTATAATGCTCGGTGCTTGTCTGCAAATAGTATAATAAAGCAAAAATGATAGCACTCCAGGGACTTCATTATAGCTTTTAGTAAAGAACATTTGAGTTTTAGAAAAAACTTTCATCAGGAAAGAATGGTTAGCAAGGAACCTTATACCTTTAGGATTGTTGTCATGACATAATTTAACATGTGCAGAAACATTCTGATTATTTCATAATGATTTAAAATGTTGCAGCAGTGTTCTGTTATTATACAGTGGGCGTGTAGTATGACCTACATAATATTTATTGCATGGACAAATTAAAATATAACATATCTTGCAGTGCTCCGCTTTTTTCTTTTTTTTTCCTAAAGAAGTTTAAACACTCACACCAACGGTATTGATTACCAACATTATTTACTCTGTTCTAATAGTCCTCACTAGGACCTTACCTTCCATTATATCTAGCAGCCGATGTATTCTGCCTGCATTTCTATATTGCCGAGGGTTCCCTCTGGCACTACACTGCAAACATAATGTTACTGTTTCAGATTGCATTTCAGAGATAAACTGCAATAAAGCATACAAATTACAGAATATTACAGTGGACACCGCTTGTTGCTATTTATATATATATATATATTTATATATATATATATATATTGACATCACAGAGTAAACGTTTATCTATCTATCTATCTATCTATATATAAAAACCGAGATGCCTGCACTCCTGGAATAGAGAGTAATTGCCCGGTGCTGGTCAGGCACAGGATACAAAAAATGATTGGAAATGACCGCACTCCAAGGACTTGTTGATAGTAAAAATAAAATATAACTTTTATTCTATATCATTTAAAAATATCGACGTTTCAGCCCCAATACATGGGCTTTCACCAGGATGGCAATAATGATATAGAATAAAAGTTATATTTTATTTTTACTATCATCAAGTGCTTGGAGTGCGGTCATTTCCAATTTTTTTTTACATTTATATATATATGTGTATATATATATATATATATATATTGATTGTTTTGTATTTTCATTTTTTTGATCCCCCATATCCTATACTGTATATATATCGCAAGTGCTTTTCCGTCGATGCTAGTTTAGCACAGTCTGGTTTTGTCTCCATCTAGTGGCAACACTTGAGATTGTATCCACTTGTATCTTTCCTTTTCTCCGTTTTGTGTACGTCAAGCATGTCAGATTTGCAGCCCACGGGCCGCATGCGGCTCACAAGGACCGTCTTTGCGGTCCGGCGAGCCACGAGTACATGCCTAATGTTCCAAACAGTGTAGGCACCTGCTTTCCCCACATTGCAGGTGCCTACTCTGCTAACACTTACCTGGCTGGGGTAAGTGTTAGCGTACCTGCTCCTCACTGCTCCCTCGCCATCTGTAATGAAGCCGGGCGCTGGAATATGATGTCATATTCCGGCACCCGGCATCATTAAACCGCGTGAGGGAGCAGTGAGGAGCAGATAGAAGGACGCCAGTGAGAGGCCCCACATCGGCTCCAAAAGGTAAGGAGCAATAAAGAAAAGAATCAGTGTGAGTGTCTGTCAGTGTGTGTCTGTCAGTCTGTCTGTGTGTGTGTGTGTCTGTCAGTGAGTGTGTGTGTGTGTCTGTCAGCAAGTATGTGTGTGTCTGTCAGTGAGTGTGTGTGTGTCTGTCAGTGAGTGTGTGTATGTTTGTCTGTGTCTGTCTGTATGTCAGTGAGTGTGTGTGTGTCTGTCAGTGTGTCTGTATGTGTGTGTCTGTCTGGCAGTGAGTATGTGTGTGTGTCTCTCTGAGTATATGTGTGTGTCTGTATGTGTGTGTGTCTGTATGTGTGTCTGTCAGCAAGTATGTGGGTGTCTGTCAGCGAGTGTGTGTGTGTGTCTGTCAGTGAGTGTGTGTGTGTCTGTCAGCAAGTATGTGTGTGTGTGTCTGTCAGTGTGTGTGTCTGTCTGTCAGTGAGTATGTGTGTGTATCTGTCTGTGTATGTCTTTCTGTCAGTGAGTGTGTGTGTGTGTGTCTGTCAGCAAGTATGTGTGTGTCAGTGAGTGTGTGTGTGTCTGTCAGGGTGTCTGTATGTGTGTGTCTTTCTGTCAGTGAGTATGTGTGTGTGTGTCTGTCTGTGAGTATATGTGTGTGTCTGTATGTGTGTCTGTCAGCAAGTGTGTGGGTGTGTGTCAGTGAGTATGTGTGTGTGTCTGTCAGTGAGTGTGTGTGTGTCTGTCAGTGTGTGTCTGTGTGTGTGTGTCACTGTGTGAGTATGTGTGTGTCTGTCATTGAGTATGTGTGTGTCAGTGTGTCTGTATGTGTGTTTCTGTCTGTCAGTGAATATGTGTGTTTCAGCGGGAGGATCAGATTTGGCACAGGGTGGTAGAGGGGGGTGTTGTGGTTTAGTAGAGGGGGCTAGGATTTAGTAGAGGGGGTGCTGCTTTTTTTTTTTTTATACTGTACTTTTTAAAATAAACCTACGTTTCTATAAAAATATAAGATTTTTTTTTGCGGCCCACATAAACTTAAACCTTGTTTATGTGGCCCGTGCCAGACTTTGGCTGGTATACATATTAAAAGTTAAGTTTTAACCATTAATTTACTATACCCTTGGGCCAATAGCTAGTCTCCTTTGTCTCTTACTACCTTACCATTTGGGTTCATGCCCTGCTCTACCAGCCCTACTTTACCTACATATCATTCTTCCACTCTTTCCTTTATTACTCACATTACTCACACTCACATTTTAGTTATTTTATTTTAAAAGAGAAAGACTTGACAGGAATACAATATACAAAGGTTAATCCTTTCTAAGTGTATCCAAGTATGGACATTACATTTATCAAGTGAGGTAAATAAATTTTTTCTGGTGGAAATATTTCCTGATAGATTGTTGTCTTGTTGGACTTTGTCAAAACTGAAATTGGGAATACTGCTAAAAGAAGATGTAGATAAAAGCAGGCATACCAGGGTGCCTTCCTTGCTAGTATAGGGGTACTAGTATTAGTATTGCTCTCTCCCACAGCGTTTCAGGATTCCTCTGTTGCAACAGAAAGCTTAAATTCAAAAGTGTGTATGCTTTAAAAAAAAAAAAAAAAAAAATGTTATTCCAGAATTTAAAATAAACAAACATGTCGTATGCGTTTCGACCACTATAATTGCAGACTTGCGTCTTCTTGGCAGATCTAGTTAATAAAATAAGTTAAAGGGGAACTATAGTGATAGGAACACAAATGTGTTGTTTTTTTGAAATCTTTATTTTTGCATTGATGCAAAGTACAGCACAAAAGATAACACGAGGCTTATGCATAAGCTAAATCACAGTGTATGCAGCATTGACATACCAATAAAGAAAGGAAGCGTTGGTTTATCAGAGCATATATGATGCCATTCGTTGATGTCTAGCATAAGCGTGATCTGTCAAAGCTTCTTAGTTTTTATACAAACACATATATAACAAGAACCATATAACTATAACTCATTCCAATTGCATTGATGATAAGTTGTGGAGCAGTGCCAAACATAAGCCCTCCTGCTGAACCTGTCGTTTGAGAGTGTCTCCAAACAAGGGCGGGGATATCTCCATCCCCCCATCATCCAGAGAGTCCTTCCTCAGCCCCCACTCAAGCACCCTCCAGGGGGCCTCCCACCAGTGCTCCTTTGTGGGCTATGAGCTGTAACTGTGGCTGGTTCCCTTATTTACCACTATAATGTCTTAAAGCATAGAACTTAGTAGGGCTAGATATCTTAGCTATAATTTTATATAGTTAGTGTAAGAGATCCTCTATTTAAAATATATAAATAATTGAGAATACAAAATAAAATAAGGATTGTCTTGGAAGCAATAACGTTTTGTCTTTTAGATATTTATTATATAAACATATAAATATAGACATATAAAATCCATTATAGCAGAGTTTATAAGATTAAATTAAATGCTTGCAAATATCATTAATAGACTAACATACCCTTCTGAATATGTCATCATGTCAGCCTCTCTGTCATTTTAAGATGGAGCAGCGTCTGTCTCCAAGTCTCTCCTCTGTGTCTTAACATTTAAAAGTTACACCTATTTATACCTTAGGTGTCTCCATTTTAGGGTTACTGTAGTTCATATATGAAAAAGTAACACTTCTTTTACTTTATTCATTTTAGGACCTCCCTTAATTTGGCAAACATACAAGGCCATTACTAAAGGGTGCATACGTCATGGAAATTTTCCTGACTTAGTTCAAGATGGCATCTTCAAGTCTGAACATCCTTATCTGTTGTTTATACTAAGACGTAAGTGCACAGTCGTGGGAGATTCCCGGATTTGGGGAAGTTACATTAATTTAGGGTTAATGTAACTTCCCCAAATCTGGGAATCTCCCACGTGTACTGAAAGAGTCGTAGTATAGCCTTGAAGCTTGTTTATGCATTATTGTTATTGTAATTCGTCTGGGACAAAATGGCGCAAACATATTATGCACTAAGGTTATTGCTTAAAGAAACATCTATGAAAAACAATATGTTCCATTTCTAACACCTTGTCAGTTTTCAATATCTCTTAAAGACAAAGTACACAGTTTAAGAAATACAACATTTCATTCTAAAACTTGTAATATTTGCATTTGCCCATAACACCCTCTCTATTAAACTGTGGGCATTGTAGACCATTTCTTCCTTAAATTAGTAAACCAAAGTTCTCCAACAGTCTAGGTTTTTTTTTTTGCTCCCAGCATCCTTGATCATTGTTGTAACAGTAAAACATCCGTAGTGTGATCTTTGCCTGTAAAGGTGGTTGATTAAAATGAGCAAAGCATTTGTTTGGGAAAGAATTGAAAAGAACACCAGGTTCCAGAGTAAGATATTCTTGGATAGATCCGGATACGAATTGTAATCCAAAGTTAAAAGTAGTAATTGTATTTGTAATCCAAAGTCTTAAAGGCCTGTAGAAGTTTACATTCCTTAGATATATTGCTGGAGGTTGTGTTTGTAGAATACCCAGGTATTTGTTGTAGAGTATAGGTTGTAGAGTCCAGCTTTCCAAGTATTTGGCTAGAATTGGTTGCGGATATTGATCAGCATCATCTGTTATCACTGTGGTGATGGCGTTGGTATTTGTCTTTTGTCTTTGCTTGTTTGCTTTTGGTTTTGTTTTTTCCATGAAACATTTTTACACCGTTTATGATGTGTATAGATTGGATGTTCTCCGATATTCTTTTATGGAATAAATTAATTGACAGCATTTCCAAGACATTGTCTTAAGTGACATGGATCTCATTATAGTAAATGTTATGTTGATACAGCAATCGAAGTGGATACTCAAGAACGCCTCTTTTTGCTGTATTGGAATCTTTGTAACATCTCAATGACATCAGGTGCTGTTGTGCTAAAAATGTTAACAGGTAAAATCTGTGGAAAAATCTTTAGATTTCTTATACTTTGTATAATAATGATAGATGAAATAGTGACAGTTAATCTTTCTAGTGTTTTTGCTTTAAAGATAAAAACCATTGTATATGATTTAGAGATATAAGGATAATTTGAAGCAGCAAAGTATTTACCGCCTTTGTTCACAATGGTATGTAAAATTACATTCTCTTTAAATGTTAAAAATACTCCTTTATTCAAAATCTCTCTATCTATTTAGAATAGTTGCTAATTGGAAATATGACATTGTTCATCTTTCTTTGTCCTGTTAGGGAGAAGACAACGTATTCCCTAATAATAACTACAGTGGCTTAAAATACAAGAAACACCCCAAAATTTAATTTTACATTTTTTTTCCCCCCAAGATCTGACAGCCATTATGGAAAGTCACGTTCGTGAGATTGGATGCTTAATAATGTGAATCTTAATTGTTTAAGTATATTTATCAGTGGCTGTTGGGTGTAACTTAAGATGATTTGAATATCTATTATTTCTAAAAGTGAGTTAAAAAAAAGCACTCAGATACAATATTGAAGGTATTTATATTTTAGCTGTACCTTTGTATAAGTGGTTTTAACTCTTCCATAACAATAGATATCAGAATCTGTTGTAACTATAACTGGTTGAAGTGGGGGGTATGTTACAATCAGAATATGAATTAATAATCATATGCATAATGTATTGATTCAACAATCAATAGATGTGGTAGGATCATTACCTTTAATCACCACAAACCAAATTTAATTTTCTTGGTATTTGAAAAACCGATAAAATATTTGATCACTTGTATTTTAATATATATACATAGAGTGGTATGGATGTTGAATTTATATCTTTGACATCTTTTCACCAGTTTGCAATAGGTGACCTAAATGATCAATTTCCAAAATCATCATGTATATCACCTGGACGGGTTAATCCATAATACTCTTTTACTTTCCATTGACTGGCCTTAGCTCTGGCAGACTGAATATTTTTATCATTGTAAATATAGGTTTGTGATAAGCGAAGTTAAGTTTTTGCCTGTCTTTCAGTTAAATTTTAACTGTTGAAGTACTTCACTTATATTAATTAACTATACCACTCTGCAAACTTAAACGAATATAAAGTACCATATATACTCAAGTATAAGTCTAGTTTTTCAGCACATTATTTGTGCTGAAAAACCCCTACTCGACTAATACTCGAGTCAGTGTCTGTATTATGGCAACTTACCATAATACAGACCAGGACCACCGGGCTCATTACAAGCCCGGCGGTCCTGTTGGGGGCTGGCAGATAGCTGTTACTTACCTTCCTGCAGCTCCTGTCAGCTCCCTTCTCCTCTACTGTAAGTCTCGCGGTGTGACTGCAGCAGCTCTCGCGAGACTTACAGTGGAGCTGACCGGACCAGAGGAGAAGGGAGCTGACAGGAGCTGCAGGAAAGGTAAGTAACAGCTCTCTGCCAGCCCCCCTCCTACACAGCCCATCCACTGGACCACCAGGGAAAGAGCCCCCCTCCTTGGCCAGCTAACAAGCAGGGAGGGGGGACAAAAATAAAAATTTAATAATAAAGAAAAAAATATTACAATAAAAAAATGTAAATATAAAAATAAAAAAAGTAAATAATAAAATAAAAAAATAATACTAAAATAAAAAAATTTAAATATTAAAATTAAAAATTTTTAAAATAATAAAAAAGGCCCTCCCCCACCCAGTTCACACACAAACACACACTCATACAAACACACCCACTGCATTGTATACACACACATACTGCATTGTATACACACACACTGCATTATATACACACTCATACAAACACACACTCTGCATTATACACACACTCATACAAACACACACTCTGCATTCACACAAACACACACTCTGCATTATGTAATGCAGAGTGTGTGCTTGTATGAGTGTGTGTGTGTGTGTATAATGCAGATTGTTTGTATGAGTGTGCGTGTATATAATGCAGTGTGTGTTTGTATGAGTATGTGTGTATATAATGCAGTGTGTTTTTGTATGAGTGTGTGTGTATAATCCAGATTGTTTGTATGAGTGTGTGTGTGTATAATGCAGTGTGTATGAGTGTGTGTGTATAATGCAGAGTGTGTGTATGAGTTTGTGTGTGTGTAAAATGCAGAGTGTGTGTATGAGTGTGTGTGTATAATGCAGAGTGTGTGTTTGTATAAGTGTGTGTGTGTATATAATGCAGTGTGTGTGTTTTTATGAGTGTGTGTGTATATAATTATAAAAATCACAGAATTTCATAGCCCCAAGTTTTACCCTCGACTTATCCACGAGGCATAGCATATTTCACAATTGTTGGTCACAAACTGCACTCGACTTATACATGAGATCGACTTGTACACGAGTATATACGTAGTTTCTGATTTAATAAAAACATTTTAAATTTTCTTCTAAAGTTTAAATATTATTTATTATTGCAGTTGTTATTGTAATCATATAATCTTTAACTATCATGATTCAATTATTCATCTGAGTAATTAGCTGTTATGCTCTTATACTTTATGTTTAATATATTTGTTTGTAGGCCAGACTGCAGCTGCATATGGCATTTTAGCAATAATCTTGAATTGCATTTCAGATATTCACAAAGTCTATCCACCTTTGTAATTAACACATTATGTGTTTATCTTATACCATTAATTATAGTATCTGTATTATATTACACATTGTCACTGACACATTTCTGATACAGGGAAAAAAATAGCATGATTGCTTTAGTAATTACAATTTTTCTGTCCATGCACCAAATTCCTGGAAGTCCAGAATATAGCAAGAATCCTTGGTCTATGGTCCCAGGGAGCCATTTAACGTTTTGATGGGTATAGTTATACCAAAAGAGCAAGGAGTACATCGGTAGATCACATCTGCAACAGAACCATTACAGATTCCTTGTTGTATCAATGTCTCTGTGTTTATGTTTACAGGAGTTCCTTGCTTTGCAGGTATGTAGATAATATGGAGAGCTTAAGAAAAGCTGCAAATCGTGCTTTAGTACAAGTGTCCCGTGATGTCAGGTTTCTGAAAGATTTTGCTGGCCTTTTATATTCCATTCTCTTGGCAGGGCATCTGCTCTTAGTAGGCCGGTCTTGTTATTATTTATTAATTGCATCAAGGTTTCTTTCGTTAATGTGTTTCTTTCTAATTCAAATTCATATGCCACCAAATGTCATTGTAAAGTTCATTGTTGCAGAATATTGTTCCAGGATGTTTTTTTCACTCCAGTAGGAAATCTATATTCCTCTTCTTCTGATCCTACCTATTAACCACTTTTTCTGAGTTGTAGTTAACAATCTGTGTCTTGTACTGTGAGGTGCTTTGCTAGTCAATCAAGTTTTCTCAGTACCATGTTCCATCTTGAGAAACAGTTGGGTGTTGACAGTTATCAGCCTTTATTTCTTTTCCGGTCATCTTCTGTCTGGAAACATAATAGCAATGTCCAGAATTAGCATAGCACTTCTTTTCAGCATAAAAAGGCTGTTTGCGCTAGTCATTCAATGATAAACTGTATGGCAAAGTCTTTTCTTGCATCACCTTCATAGGTGCATCCAAAGTTTTTCACAAGCATCTGTCCCGTCTTTTCCTGTTTTCAGCATGCTTTGCCATCATCGTTGAGTCCATTATTAGGATTTGATATAGTTCAATCACATCTTTCTCATGTATAATCGGTTTTTGGAATGATCTTCAATAGGTTCCTTGTGAAATACCAGTGTAGGCAATCATTTCACTGTGAGCTGTGTCTCTCCTTATGAAATAGTTCTTGGAGGTAGTCCCCACAATCAAAGAACTTGTATAGTGTGCAGTCCAATTCAGTTCAGGTGCTTCCTGCTTGTTAACATAATTCCAATGCAGTTTTAAAACGACAGCTAGGGTTAATGTTATGATAAT